GGGAAACGGCCCTGATTTTCTCAAGCTCTTCCCCTAAATGACGCAACCACACAAGACTGGCAGGTTTGATTCAAGCTGGAGGTGTCTTGCCAAGCTGTAGATGGTTTTCCTGCAGGGCTGCAGGGAGAAGCAGTGCTGACCTCTTCTGTGTGAGGCACTGGGATGGCAGCTGATGAGTAGAAAGGTAGATGGTGCTGCCTCAATGTAGATTTCTCATCTTTGAGGAGTTGTTACTAACAAGGAGGAGAAATGTGGAGGCACAGCTGGCTTCTGTGGCAAATGCTTCCACTAAACCTGAATTCATTGAGATGGGAGAAGACCCTTAAGATCATCAAGTCCAACCATTCAACCCAACACTGCCAAGTCCACCGCTAAACCATGTCCCTAAGCACCACATCTCCATGTCTTTTAAATATCGCCAGGGATGGGGAATCCCCCACTGCCCTGGGCAGCCTGGCCCAATGCCTGACCACTCTTCCAGGAAAGAAATTTTTTCCCAATACCCATTCTGAACCTCCCCTGGCACAACTTGAGGCCATTGCCTCTCGTCCTATCGCTGGTTACTTGGGAGAAGAGACCAACACCTGCCTCACACGCTCCTTTCAGGTAGTTGTGGAGAGCGATGAGGTCCCCCCTCAGCCTCCTCTTCTCCAGACTGAACAGCCCCAGCTCCCTCAGCTGCTCCTCATCAGACTTGTTCTCCAGACCCTTCACCAGCCTTGTTGCTTCTTTAAAAGTGGGCCTTCTCCAGCACCGGATAGGTGGAGCCATCTTGCAGCACACTGAACATCCACGGTCGTGCATGGGATAGCCAGTCGCCAGGGCAGACACGGAGCCTGCAGAACTGCTTCAGCATTTGGCTTGGAAATGTTACCAGGGCTTCAAACTGCCCAATATCAGCGGTGCTTGGTGCTGAGCTGAATCAGCAGACTGCTTTTTTGGGGGAAAAAAACCCCAACAGTTGTGTATCTCTTGCAGGTGACAACGCTCCTGTGTTTGGTCACGAGTCCAAACAAGAAGTGCTTTTTCAGGGGCATGGGGGTGGAGGGTGACTATTGCCAGGGTTCACTTTTCATAGAATCACAGAATGGCAGGGGTTGGAAGGGACCTCTAGGGATCATCTAGTCCAACCCCCCTGCC